AAGCTTCACGGAAGGCTCGGCTGCACCTCCGCCGCCATTCGCGGCAAGCGCCTGCTCTGCGAAGGCGGCGCGCAGCGAGGACGAAAGCATCGACGAGAGGAGACCGGAGTAGTCGAGGCGCTCGGCGGCCCCCCAGCCGAGCATCACCGCGGAGAGGGCAGTGTTTGCGAGAAGGTCGGCGCCTGAGAACGCACACAACGCCGCGTGTGTAATGCCCCGTGTGTTCCGCGAGTGCGCGTGCCCCGTCGTCCGTGCCAGGACGTGCGACGTGTGTGCCGCGTGTGTACCACTGGCTGACTGACTCGGCGCCTGGAAGCGGCAGGCCGACGCCGTGCAGGCTCACGGAGAGGTGCTCGGGTCGCAGGTCGAGCTGCGTGTCAATGAGGTCGAGATCCGGCAGCCGCTCCTCGCCGACCGTGAAGAGGCGCAGCCGCGTCGCCACAGAGGCGTCGCTCAGCGTGAAGGTGACGCCGGTGGGCCAGTTGCGGGCAGAGTACAGGTCGAGGTACAGCTTCTCGCCGAGCTGGAGAGGGACCAGCATCGAGCCGGACCTCGCGGGCGGCGCCTGCTCGACGAGCACGCGGGAAACCTCGCACTCCACGCCAAAGTGGTCCACTGCGACGTACAGCTCGCTCGACGCCTCGGCTTCGCTCGACAGATGGCCATCAAGGAACTCGGACCTCACCGCCTCCATGTGTGATTTGCTGCACACAGCGCCGGAGATGGTGACGTAGAGCGGGTGCCCGCCGCGAGGATCACGCTCCGGGGACGTGACGACGACTGTGGTGTCCGGCCAGCTGATGGTGAGTCCAGAGAGCCAGTGTCGCAGATTGAGGCCCGCCGCCTCGTCGCTACCGCTACCGTCGCGCGGCCCAGCCTGGCCGGAAGCTGCCAATGCAGCCAGAAGAAGCATTCTCGCGCTGCCTCGGCTGACACTGCAGGCCTCTACCAAATTGCCTCGGCTAAGTCGCTGAGGAGCAAGAGACGATCAGCCGTCAAGGGCCTTGGATGTCCGAGCTTACCTCGAATTCTTTTTTCGTAGGATGAAAAATAAAGCACGTAAGCCATCGCCCAGGCTTTCACAGCGCGTAAAAAAACAACGTCGGTACCCAACGTCGAGAGACTAGAGAGGTGCCCACCGCGCCGCTCTCCTCTAGCTAGCTCTCCTCTACCGGACAAGCTCGCCGGTCCCGCAGAGTCAGCCGGGTGTGCTCGACGTGTTCGATGGCGAGCCTCGCCGAGAGCATGGCGCTTCCCGCGGCGGCGGGCGGCCTCGCGGTCCTATTCTCCCACCCGCTCGAGCTCACAAAGGTGCGGCTTCAGCTCGACAACGAGCTCGCGGCGAAAGGCACTCCGCGTCAGTACGCCGGCTTCGTCGACTGCGTGCTCCAAAACTTCCGCGCGGCTGGCGTGCGAGGGCTGCAGCGCGGCCTCTCGCTGGGCGTGACGCGCGAGGTCTGCTTCAACGCCGTCCGGATCGGGCTGTACGACCCGATCCTATCTGCCTCCGGCGCGGTGTCTGGCCGCGGCGAGCGGGCGCCTTCGGCGCGCGAGCGGATGGCAGCCGGCTTCACGTGCGGCGCGCTCGGCGGCTGCTGCGTCAACCCGATTGAGGTGCTGAAGGTGCGAATGCAGGCGTACGGCGGGCTCACCGGCCACCAACACGCCATCCCGAGCCCCGCGGCCGGCCTCGCCGCCCTCGTGCGCGAGGAGGGCCTCGCCGGCTGCCTCCGCGGCGTCGGCACCTCCACCGCCCGCGGAGTCCTCGGGCCCGGCTCGCAGCTGATCGCGTACAACGAGCTCAAGGCGGCGGCGGTGGGGCACGGCGCCGACCCCGCCGCCGCGCCGACGCACGTCAGCTGCGCGCTCGCCTCGGCCGCCGTCTCGGTCGCGTGCGTGAACCCGGTCGACGTGGTGCGGACGCGGGTGTACAATGCGCCCGCTGGCCTGTACGCGTCCGGGGCCGACGCCGCGCGGCGGCTCCTGCGCACCGAGGGCCCGCTCGCGCTGTACAAGGGCTCGCTCACCCACTACCTGCGGCTCGGGCCGCACATGGTTTTAGTCTTCGGTATCCTGGAGAGGCTCAAGTCGATGCGGGCACGCTCGTCGTGAGAGCATGTGCATGTTTTGGGTATGTTGCATGTGTGCAAGTGCACCACGAGCGAGCCGGTGCCGGCCGGTGCCGGCAGAGCCGTCCTTTTTTCAACCCTTTTCCAAACAAGCTGAAGATGTTCACGGCCCCCACACGGAGGGCGCTTGCGGAAAACTCGGCGCAGTCTCGGCCGGCGCGCGCTCCTGTGCGGCCACCTAAATTCCCGAGTCGCTGCACCCCGCCAGAGCACCCACCCACCTCGCCGCCACAAGCAGGAGCGGCGGTAGAAGTCGAAACGTGCGCCGCACGGCCGCCTCGCTTGAACGGCCGCTTCCGCAGAGTCGACCGATAGCCGCCGCGCTCCACACCCGGCCACAGCCTGACCACCCCGCGCGGACACAGGGCGCACTGCAGCCCTGCTGGACTGCCCGGCCGCTCACACACCGCCTCGGCCGCCCACACCAACGCACAGACCCGCCTCGGTAGGCGTGCTGCTGGGGGCAGGCCCGAGACGGCTGGACAGGAGCCGAGTGCAGTGGCGATCCAGAGGCTACCTGGATCGTCAAGAGGTGCTCCATGACTACTCTGAGCAGGGCTGTGCTTTGGTGGGGCTGTTCTTGATCATGTGTGAAGTAGGAGTCCGTTGCCGGCGCTGCCTGAGGGTAAAACAGGCGTGAAATAGCCTCGTGTGGGGTGTTATGAGCCGGTGTGAGCTTGGAGACCCGAGATAAGCGCGGCTCGGGACAGCTCGGGCTTGGTACTGATGGGCCTGGGCCAGGAGAGCGGCAGGGAAGGCGAGGTGGTGAGCTGACAGGCTGGGAAGTCGGCACGTGTGCGTGTCGCGGTGAGCTGCCAAAAAGTGTTGTTAGCGGCTATTGCTCCAAACTTCGGGAGAGACGGCCTACACATGTTATGACTGCACCCTTGCGCCTGGTGCATGAGGGGGCTGCGGGACGGGACATTTCACAGTCGATGGCGCCGATAATGACCTCCGGAAAGCCCTCGCGTCGCAATCGCCTCGGATTGGGTCCACCGGGGACAATCTCGGGTCCTCTCCGTGGCATCACGAGCTGGTGTGAGATTGGGGACCCGATATAAGTGCAGTTTGGGACAGCTCGGGCCTGCTAGTGATGAGCCTGGGGGCCACGAGAGCGGCAGGGAGTGGGGAGCCCCGGGTACTCTTTAGCTGTACTCGTCTAGGCGGGGGTTGCTTTTTTTTTGAGAGCGCCTTCGTTGTTTATACAATGGAGTGCGGTCATTAACCTCACATCCAGGGCCGGCCCGCGGGCGCCGGGGGCTAATAAGCGCTGTTATTAGCCTCATAATTAGCTTGTTATTAGCTACTCGCGCTATTAACTATATGTTGATAATTAGGTACGTTATTAGGCTAATAGTTTGATAGTGTATCGTTGCTCAGGTCCACTCTCTCTTCGAACACTTGTACCTCCACCGATGATGTTGGCGCTGGGGTCCCCTTCGGGTGCATCGTTACAGCTGACGACGGGATTACCACTGGTGTTTCGTCTTTCTTCCTCGGAGTCTTCTTCCCCGGCTTCCCCCCGTTCGGCTCTACGTTCAGCGTGGCTCACCCTCCATGCCGTGAACAGGCGCTTTATCCATCCTATATTCTTCTCTCGTTCCTCTGCCCGTGCCTTGGTCTTGTTCTCTCGAGGTTCTCGAGGTGGATCTCCTTTGGCCGCGTTGGGTAGCGAGCATTGGTGTGACGTGATCCACGCAGGCGTGTTTTCTGGCGGCCGACCGTCAGTGCACGGAGTTGCCCCTTCTCCGACTGCCCCGGCTAGTTCCCGAGGTCGTCGGGTGTGACCCCTGCGTCCCCCGAGACCTAGCGCGGGTGGGTTGGAGGGGGCTCGCTGCAGGGAAGGGCGGTGTAAGAGGCCGATTCCCGCAGTCCGCCCCGTTCCTCCCCATCGGGCCGCGTGAGCGGCCTCGCCTCGCAGATTCGTTTCTCGCGCCTGGGTCAGGCGCGCGGGGCATCCCCCGGGTCGCTCGACCAGCGATCCGAAGAGTGGCCGCTATGCGAGGGAAAGAGCGGGGCCCTCGACGCCTCTGTCCGGCCCCCTCCGAGGGGGGAAGGGAATTGCGGGGTCCCCACGGGCGCCTCAGTTCGGCCCTCCCGGGGGGAGGGGAGCAAGGAAGGGGGTGAGGCAAGGGGTGAGGGGGTCGGGGCGGTGGGGAGGGGTCTCGGTTTCGTGGGACTAATACTTGCCTTTCGGGGAGGGGCCTCCGTTCAAGCGCTCATCACAGGAGTGAGAGCTGCCTGACGTCTTCCCCTCCTCCCTCGTTGCAGCGAGTAGGCAGCGAGTGGAGGTCTCGAGCGCCTATATGAAGGTATTGAGATGGTGATGGGAATGGGTGGTCGGTCGGTCGGTCGGGCGGGCGGGCGGGCGGGCGGGCGGGCGGGCGGGCAAGCGGGGAGAGGCGAGGAGAGGCGGGCGGCGGGGCGGGGCGGGCGGGCGGGGTGATCAGAGGTATCGTATCCACAATCAGCAGCAGCAGAGCAGCCGCCGCCGCAGCAGCTGCTGCAGCAGCAAGCAGCAGCCTGCCGCAGATTGCTGCCGTTGTCAGCGCCGCGATCCGCCGCCGCGCCGCCGCGCCGCCGCCGCCTGCGCTCGCCGCCGCCTCGTAGACGACTCCTCTGGCGCTCGGAGAGCCGCGCAGCGGGCCGCGGGTTGAGGTCAAAGTGTGCAGCAGGATGTCGAGGTCATGAAACACCAGATTTTCAACTTGCCCGAGACGGCCCGGAAATGGTCCCGCGCTGTAGCCCCGGTGTGCTGGCGCATCACACCTCAGCCTCGAGGGGCCGGTTCCGCCGCGCAGTCGAGCAGCAGGAGCTCGGGCACAACTTTGTCGACAAACAGGTTGAGCAAAATTTCGGCGAAGAAGCGGCACCGGCGGCACGCCGGGATGAACCCGGACCGATCCCATTGTTCAGATCCGCGGCGGCGAGCCGCCGCGAGCCCACAGGAGAGCTGGGAGCTGCGGCACTAGACCGCGCCGCCAGCGAGGCGAGAGCAGCAGCCGACGACCAGCCGACATGGCAGTTGCAACGGCGGGATTCCGTGGGTCTTGTCGTTGTTTCGCACCCATGTCTGTATGGCGATCGAGGCTGGGCCCGTTCTTATGGAAGTCGCCGAGTGCCAGAAACTCCTCTCAAAAACAGATGCACGAAGCCCATAGCACATCGGCGATGTGCTAGAAACACCCGAAGCTTTGTTTTGCAGAAGCCCGCAAGCAATTTTTGATTTGCGTTGCCACGCTTGCTGGAAACTCGCTGGTTACTGGAAATTCGCAATGCGGTGCGGCTTCAGCGGCAATGTGCTGCTGGTCGCCGCCAGCACGCTCCTGTCACCGGCGCTGGGCACCGGATCGCCCATTCTCGCTGGGATGGGCCCCGTTCACCACATGCTCACTCACGTCGGGCCTCCGGCCGCGGCCGCTGCCGCTCCTGCCGACAATGGGGGCACGGTGATGATGGACCTGCTGCACGCCTATCGCCAGGCGCGACAGGCGCGGCTCGACGCTGAGGAGCAGCAGCGGCACCACCGGCAGCCAATGCGCCTGTACGAACGGCTCGACTTTGGGGAGCTTTGCGACTGGTTGAACGGCCGCGACTTTTGCAACACCTTTGGACTGGACATGCCCACCTTCGACCTGGTGCTGCGGACAATCGGGCCAGATCTCGCGCCGCTGCCGTGCGCCCGAGGCGGCTTCCAGGGGCCGCGGGTCCCACCCCAGCAGAAGCTCGCCTGCTGCCTCCGCTGGCTCCGCGGTGGCCAGTATATCGACCAAAGCAAGTTTGTCCACTATCACTCACCGGCGACGATGTACGTTCACAACCGGCACGTGATCACTGCGATCAATCGGCACTTTCGGCTCTCGCTCCTGCACGACATGG